AAAAGAACAGTAAAAACCTACAAAAATTTATCGAGAAGCTAGCAATTAAGATTGGTTAAGCTTTTTCTTTTGGATAGGAGGCTATACTTAGGAATGTATTTTTTTTTCCTATTTGTGTAGCAGTAGGTGTTTCTGAAATAGATTTGTCGAAGAATTAGCTCAGAGTTACTTTTTGATACTGAAAGCAGTGTCTGCAAGGGCTTACTGCTTCAACCAATGCAGTAAACTTACACTGTCTCCAAGTCACCAAAAAAACTGTCACCAAAACCCTACTCAGCTTGTGATGCTTTTTCTTAAAGGGCAAACTTTAATCTTACGGTTGGTTCTGTATGGCAATATTGTCTTGTTAATTTTTGGAACACTATATTTAAAAAATGTAGGCTTTTATGTTGGAAAATCACTATATGTTTGTTGTAGGTCCTTTTCAGATGTCACTGCTTTTCAGTAGAACTAGTGAACTTCAGGAAGTAGGAAGTGCACAATTCAGAAGCTGTTGCAAACAAGAAGTTTCAAACTCTGTTTCTAGCAGGGTGATAAACAGCAGTTTCTTCTCTTCAGATTGTTTGAGGGGGGGAACTGAAAAACTTTGAGTTGAAGTTCAAAAGTGGGCTTTCTTTTCCTGTGTTCCTGCAACATGTTTTGTTTTCTTATTTTAGTAAGATTTCCCTGGCTGCCAAGAAGACCATAAATATTTTCAGACTTAAAGTACGCTGTTTTAAAGTACTCTGATCCAGCCTGGCAAAAAGACGTAGCAGCATCCTTTAACATTTAACATTGGAGTTTTTTTTCCCCCCCCTTTTTTTTTTTTGTTACAAAGGTAGTGGCAGCTTTGAAGAAAGACTATTTCTTGGTTGAAGTAACGCCAATAGTCAGTACTTCAAGTACTACAAAAGAAGAAAACCATTCACTGCCATTATGTGAGTAACACTGAATGGATTGGTTTTGATTCCTTTTAAATGATCTTTGTCTTGGTTTTTAGTTAAATTGCACATGCATTTGTTGCACATGTATTCATTCCTGTACCATTGCTCCTTTGCCACTAGTTGTGGTAGGTGATTGTCGTGCTCTCAGGCCCAGGCTGCAAAAACAACTGACATTACCTGTCTCGATGAGATTTCCATAGACTGTTTTTGGAGCATAATATACTTAAACCTGAACATGATTAAAAAAACCCAACAAACTGAAGCAAAAAAAAAGTCACCAGCATTTCAGAGTTTAGGACAATAGAACAGACCATAGTTTCCAAATAACTTGTCAGCTTTGTTGTGTGAACCCTGATAGACATAAGGCTGATGGTTTTACGTATTTATGGATCCACATTATCCAGCTAATGTTAGCTGTTCTGTGTCCTTGCAGGTGTTACCCCTCTCTAGTTTTGGGGAAAATGCTGTGTATTTTGTTCAGTCATATCTCTATTTTTTCAAAACTAGATCAGTGTTAACTGTCTGTAGCTTTTCAGTATCTTTGGTGCCAGCAATTGGCAGTAATCCACACTGTGTCAATCAGTGGTCAAAAAGAATGCCTTTGACTTGTAGTTCCCTTCTTATTCATCCAAAGCAGAACAGTGTTTTCAGACAACCCAATACATAGTAATTCCACCTTTTGATCAGGTCACCTGTATAATATTTTTAAAATAATCATAAAACTGATGTTTAATAATTTCTAGGGCTTAGGAAGTTTATGCAAGATGACAGAAAGTAATGTAAGATAAAGTTCATTTCTAGTGTTTTCTTGCGTGCCGTTTTTCTTTAGATGGGACTCGAACATTCGGTGACATCGGAGCAGTTGGCAGAGTTGGGAAAAAAATGACGTTTTCATGAACTTCTGTGAAGAATGCAAATGAGCAAAGTGTGAGCTTCAATGGTAAGCTTAACTTTGTATTGGGTCTGGCTGAGATGGAGTTAATTTTCCCCATGGAGCCCTCAGAATGCTGTGTTTTTTTTATTGGTAGCTGGAAAGGTGTTGATGACACACTAGTGTTTTGGTTACTGCAGAGCAGTGCTCCCACAACATCCAGGCTGTCTCTCCAACAGTCCCCCCTCACCAGTAGGCTGGGGGTGGACAAGATCTTGGGAGGGGACACAGCCAGGACAGCTGACACAAACTAAGGAAAGGGAAATTCCATACCATATGAGGTTGACTTAGCAGTAAAAGCTAGGAGAAAGGGGAAAGGGGGACGACATTTATTTACAGTGTTTGTCTTCTGGAGCCACTGCTACACATACTGAAGCCCTGCTTCCTGGGAAGTGGATAGACGTGGCCTGCTGATGGGGAGTAGAGAATAAATCTTTTGTTTTCCTTTGCTTCCGCATGTGGTCTTTGCTTTTGCTTTTATTACCTGCCTCGATCTTGAGCCACGAGTTTTTTCCATCTTATTTTCTTCCCCCCTGTCCTGCTGCAGAGGGGAGTGATAGAGTGGGTTGGTGGGTACCTGGTGTCCAGACAAGGTCAACTCACCATAAACTTTTTATTATCGCTAATGTCCTTCTTTACCTGTTTTTGAACACCTGTATTTATGAAGTTCTTGAGGTTTCCTGTTTGTTCTTGAGAATGTTTGGAATTTGTTTCTTTAGTTGCTTTTGAACTATTTTGGAAACTCGTTTAAACCTAAAAAACATGAATAATTAACACACTGTCTGACTTTTGATAACTTAGTATTCTGTGTCAGTATGTAAAATTACTTGGGGTTCTAGAGAGCTTAATTTTTGTAGTTCTTCAGTTTGCAGCATTCACTTGAACTGCATAACTGTCTGCTAAAAACTATGTCACAATTTATCATCAATCTTCTTTTTTTTTTTAGTAAAACACAAAGTGTAGCAGTGTGTCCAGCTTGTGGGAGGGCTTTTTAGGGGTGAGACTTTTTAATGAGACTATTTCTTTTAAGCACTAAATTTTCTAAGATGGATGAGACTTGAGGAAAGCTTTTTGTCTTACTGATTTTTAGATAAATAATGTCATTAACTTCTGAAATATTGCATGTCTTAATTTGACTTTATCAACCTTAGGTTTTAGTCAGTAAAACTACTCAAGTTTCTGCCCTTATATTTCAGCTTTTTTCCATGAAAACTCTTAGAGAAGATGGCTGATGTAAACCTGAAGGAAGCAGCACTAATAGTTGGTGTGGTGGCAGCCTGCTACTGGAACAGTCTCTTTTGTGGCTTTGTTTTTGATGATGTTTCAGCAATTTTGGACAATAAAGATTTGCATCCTTCTACACCGTTAAAAAATCTGTTTCAGAATGACTTCTGGGGCACTCCGATGTCTGAGGTAAACTGTTTGCGAAACACTTTGAGGCATTTAGGAAATGGGAAAAAACCTTGCAGAGAGTTTCTACACTTTTTTTCCTTAATGTGATTTTAACAGAATAGGTTGTTTCTGATGAGATTTGGTAGTTTTAGTGTTTTGTACTGTAAGATCAGGAATGGATGTCACTTATATTTTCACCTTGTTCAGTAAAAGAATTTGTAAGAAAATAAAGTCATATATCACGCTTCAAGGTGCTGTGTGTTACCTCATTCCAGTATCGAAATTGGACAACTGACCATTTTTCCCTTCTCCTCCTGCAAAAGCTAGACATTGACATACAAGGGTATTTATTTCTAATCACAGTCTGGAAGGAAAGATTAACACTATTAAACAAATTTAATGGATTCAATATGCATTCTCTAACCCCTTGCTTTGTAGTTTGAGTCACTGTGTTTATGTGAATTCAGAGTTTTTGATTTGTAGCCCATGTAGAGTGGCTATGTTTTTATCTGAAAAGCTGCATTGGCATTAAAGTTGTTGATAAACATTGTTGAATGGCAATGGCTAAAGGATTTACATATAGTTTAGACCATTGCTGAACAAATGAATAAAAATTCTCTGACGGTCACAGTTTTTTTGCCTGTCAAGGCATTCTGCCTTGTAATCTTCTATTTTCTAATGTCCATAACATACAGGTTAGCTCCTTGTGAGATACTGATTGCTAGCTCTACAAATAGATTTTGATACATAATTTTAATATAGCTCAGACTCTTTTTCAGGTGCGATCTAGTCCTGTAGTCATTGAGAGTAAGTGGATTCCGAAATTCACCCCAATAAAATTTCAAGCAGTATTTTTCAACATGCTTTTACTCCAGAGAAACCTTAACCATGTGGAGTGACAGGAAGCCATCTCATTCAGTGTTGATTTTGCACTGAAAATCACCTGAAAGTCAGGTTAATTTTAACTAAGTGAAGTCAGATTAATTTGATTTTTCACAGCTTTTAAAATATTTTTTCCTATTTTGTGTTTCTGTCTGTATGAGTAATTTGGCGCCCTGTCCCACCTCTACCCCGCCACCTCCCAGTTTTTTGTTAGATTTTATTCCTTTGTTTTATGGACATACTCAGCAAACTATCAACAGACTGCGGATTGACAAATGTATTTTGCAACAGGAAGATGGTGTTAAGTGTAGTTTTTAAAAGGGTTTATGGATGAAGTAACTGGCAACATAGACATATTGACTGGTAGACATACTGAAAATATGTAGATAATACATTTAGCTGAGCGCATCAAAATTTTATTTTATAAAATCCTGATCTAAAACGTGAAATAGAGTAATTAAAATACTTGAATAATACAGTAAAACCATGTGGAAGTAGGAGAAAACAGTCAGAATTAACTTCTTTGTTTAACATTTTAGTTTTAAATTGAGTTTTCATTTCATTCACTGGGTTTTGTGGGTTTTTTTTAGTAGTACTGATTTTCAGGTCTTTGTTTTTAAGGTAGATGCCTGAGAATAGAGAGGGGAATCACGTATGCATAGATTTTTAGAAAGCTATTTTGGAGTAAAAGTCCCTTTGTCAGTTGGTGGTGACTAATTGATTAATTTACTTTCTTTTAGGAGAGGAGTCATAAATCTTACCGTCCTCTTACAGTTCTTACATTTCGCTTAAACTACTTGTTCAGCGAGTTAAATGCAGTTTCCTACCACTTCCTAAATCTGGTCTTTCACGTGGTGGTTTGTGTAGTCTTCCTCAAGGTCTGTAAGCTTTTTCTGGACAACAGGAGCAGCATGGTTGCATCCTTGCTCTTTGCAGTGCACCCGATACATACTGAAGCAGTAAGTATAGCTGTGACGTGCTTAATTTGTTCAGGCTGTGTTAGCCTTAAATTTCATGGGTTTTGTATCTGTTTATATATTGTAACTCCAAAAAGTGTGTGATTTTACTTGTACTTACTCTGCCCTTTGCAATGAGTGGTGAAGGTGACAAATTTTAATGCTCAGAGTTGTTTGGTAGTCTGTGCAGCAACTGAAAAATAATTAAGGAAACATTAATTTAATTATTAAATAACTTCAGTCTCTGCTATGAACATTGGCTTTTATGATGATGGCTACTTTAGCTTACATAGGTACTTGTGTTCTATGATGATTAATCCAGTATCATATTTTGCAAATGCTGTGAATACTGCTTAATTAATTTCCAGAATTGCTAAGCGCTCCTGTGTAGCTAATCACCAGGTCTGTTCTGTGCTCTTTCTTTTATCTCAATGTATCTATCTCCACAGGGCTTTTTCTAGGATTGGTATTGCTATGCTACATCCAGCTTAAGGCCATTCTGTTTGAACCTTCCATTTTTGAACACACCCGATACAAGAAAGAGAAAATACATTTCTTGCCTCTCGTATTTACCTTTCCTTTGATTCTGAAGGAGTTTTGCACTGCTATGGAAAGCATTATTTATACAAGCTGTCTGATTATATACCTTTTAATGGTCAACCAGGCTTGCATTGTTGTGGAGTAAAAGGAGTCTTGTGATCACTGTTCATTAGATTTGTTTCCATCAGAAACACTGATAAAGCAGATCTGTGGAATTCTCTGCTGTTACCTCTGCACCACTTAAATTTGCTTTCATAGATTCCAGTTGACACATGTCACAAAGCCATTCTCAGTCTCTTTTTTCTTATAGTATTAGCTGATTTTCAGAAAACTGAAAATGTTTAAACCTTTTGTTTTTTTGGAGGTGTTACCCCCCCCCCCTTTTTTTTTTTTAATGTGTTTTTTTGGAGGGAGGGGGTATGTCTTTTGATACTAAGAAAATGAGAAGGGTTTGCTCTTACCTTTTTTTGAGTAAAGATTTTGCATCTCTTGCTCTCTAAAGACACAATTCCCTGTCAGCAGCAATTCAGTACCCTGCATCTGTGTATTGTGAGCAAATCTTTATAGGAATTAAGTTCATGGGGTTTATAATTGGCTGCTATTTGAGCTACAAGTGTGTCCTTACTAGAAGTTAGTGGCATGTTTAAAAATGCAAAAGTTAAACACCTAAATTTTTTGCTTGCTTTTGTGCTCGAAAGCACAAACCCCCACTAAATCTTGGGTAAAATAGGGGTTAAAACAATAATTTGTTAATTTCATTTGTTTTTCTGTTTCTTTGAAAAAAGCATGCTTTAAATTTCAAAGTTTGGCTTTGTATCTTTGTGGTAAATGTGACAGTAGCTTTACAGGACCGTTAGCAAGTTGCTAGTGACTTACATAAGTGGTTCATGGCTTAGATCATCCTGCGCAATTTTACTACTTTCATTCCAAATACGATTCTTTGTCGTGCTTGAAATGTCATATTCTGTATGAGATGACAGTAGCACAGTTGCTTTTAGTACTGTGCAACAAAGTTAGCAGAAAGTATCATACAAATCCTACAGAACATTGTGTAATGAAAGCTTATTGTGTAAGGGAATGTATTACAAAGTTATGAAGTACGGTTATGAAGCAGTTTAGTAATACGTGTGTCATTTATGATACTAGCCACGTGAGGGCACTGTGAGACTGTAGGACTGGTGGAACTTGGTGCTGTACTTCGAACACTTAGAGGCTCTGAGATTTTAGTGCAATTGTAATTGAATTCCCCTGCTGTTGTACTTAGGTACTCAGTGAAGAATCAGTTAAGGGATTTTCTTCCTCTTCCCTCCACCTTCTGTTTTTGAGAAATAGTGCATTTTATCCTTTTAAGAGTTTGCATTAAGAATTCTGAATTCTGCCTAATATGCAACCAAGAGAATTCTTAGAGTTGGTTGTTTAGACTTGTACACATGTATAAAAGACAAAACAACTGGAAATTTCTGTACATGGAAAAGAGGAGGTAATAATGAGCTGTATTTTAGAACTGGTGACTTGGGTGCTAACTTATTCAAACTTTAATGAAAACTCCAAAACTGGTCTCATTCCCAGTTTGTATATTATTTGATGGTACCTTTTATATCTCTTATAAATGAAATGTACCTGATTTGAATTTCTTCAAATTAGTCTCCTACTTACTGCTCCCCTGCACCAGAGCTTGAAACAGCAGATGCAATACATAAATGTTTCCAACCTTTACCTATCTTAGGACAAACAGATTTTTCCTGGAAGAGTTAGCAGAGCAGAATAAATAGAAAATAATTTTCTGCTTGACTTCAGAGAGAAGCTAGGCTCTTGCAGTGGTAAGATACAATTTTCTGAGGAAGAATTTTTGAGCAAATGGGTTGAATAACAGCATCACAGTTTCATTTGTACTTGTCTTTAGAATTCCAGTTCAGTCTTTCTACCTGCTTCCCTACTGTTCTGGCTAGAGGCATGTTGACCACCTTTACAGCTACAGGATGTGAGCTAACCTTGTGAATGCTGGAATTCTCTGTCATAAGTCACCTTTGTGTCCAGAAATAGAATCTCTCTTTTGTTGTACCTGTGAAGGTACACCAGCACACTTGCTTTACTAATGATCTCTTTCAATTGATCCACAGACAAAGCTGTCTTTAATTCCTGTTCTAATACTGGACAGTTTTGAGATCCAGACCTGTAATCCTTGAAACATCTTAAGACATTCTGGAAACAAACACCTGTATGCTATCCAAAACATTAACGCAAAATCTGATGTCTTATCAGTTGTGAAACATGCTTTGTCTGTGCATGATTCAGTGAATTCTTTGGTAAACGTACACTGCTCCCAACGGAAGCGCCAGCGCATGATTTCAAATTCAGATCTGAATACCTTGTTTGCACTGTGACCTTGGATATTGAGTTACTTTCTCTTTTTATGCTGTGCTGGATCAGTCATGCTTGACCAAGAATGTACCTAGCAGCAAAAACTTCTAGCTGGGTCTGGATGACTGAAAGTCAGTTTTTAGCATCATCATAATTAAATAGTGAGCTATGAGGTTTTCTTAGCTAAATATGACCATCTGCCTCAGGATAGGCATGCCGTTTTTCGGCTTACTTGCAAAAATCTGGATGTAATCAGAGGCATTACAGAAGGACAGATGAGGAAGAAAGGCAATCCTAAATGGTAATGCGGTAACCATTAACATAGTGACCTGTCTTCTGTCTCTGGTTGTTGGTTGCACCTTAGGGTTTTTTGAAGAGAGCTCCTGAAATGGAAATTAATCTGTATTTCACTGGGAATTCCGAAACAACCTGTGCCCTATGGAATTTGGCACTTCTCCAAATTTTCATAAAATCCATTCCTCTCTGTCTTGCTACCAAAGGGGTCATTACCTGCAATTTTAATATTGCCAAGCAAATTATCGTTCATAAAATTGCCAGACCTGTAGTAAGTCCCAAGTGATTCTTTAATTCCATTGCAGAGCTTGCCCTCAATTTATTTGTAACTCTGGACTGGTCAGCTAAGAGCTGCCATAGCACCAGTCAAGGGAATGCTGCTTTCAGATTCAGATCTGTTCAGTCAGTCAGAAAAGGTGTGAACAAAAACAGCAACCTTGGTTTCTATATGCCACTGTCTGCAGGATGTATATGTACAACAGTCCTTGTCAGGCTTCACTTAAAGCTCCTGTGCATGAAAGCTATCTTCTTCCAAATATTATGAAGAAAGCAGTTTCTATCATGCCCAAATTCTGCTTCAAATGCTATTTGTGGCTGGTGTTACTAAAGATAGAAGAAAGTGCAGTATTTCTCACTTGTCTTGTTAATGGTGATACTTAGGGGTATATCAGCCACAGGTGGCCACTAGTCACCTGTACCATCCTGTTCTTGAATTCAGTACTGACTGAAGTGAAAGCAACCTTACTCTTCTTACCCTTTTTTTCTTGGTTTGCGTATCTTGTTTATCCATATCCTGGTAGTATATCAGTAATGCACTACTCTAGTACTAGAATAGTCACTGGAAGAATGATCTTGTTTTTTCTTCTTTTTCTTTTCAGGTAACTGGAGTTGTGGGCAGAGCAGAGCTTTTATCATCTATCTTTTTTCTAGCTGCTTTTTTGTCATACACAAAATCTAAAGGGCCAGATAATACCATAGGTAAATGATCAACGACTATGTACATAACTTAATTCCTGTATCAGTAATAATAGAGGTCTTAAAATGGTAATGTGGGTATATTGGTTATTCAGCAAGTGTGTACAAAAAAACCCTTCAGCCTCAAGATACCCATGTGATAGTACTTTCTATTATAAATTGCCTTTTTATTATTTTATTCAAGACTTAAGCACTTTTTCAGTTGTTTTGTAACACCTAGAGTAGGGAACTCTTGCACTGACTCTTATTACTGAAGTAAGTGGGAGTATGCTGAGACGCCTCAGTCAGTTGCAAGTACGCTGCAAAGTTTTAGTAGAGATGTAGGAGGCTTGCCTCTTTTACAAAGTCAAATTGACCTGAAAATTCATGCTCCCTATAAAACGTTCCATTTGAAGAAGTGTTCTGGTGAATTAATATTGGGTTTTTTGTTTTCGTATCATAGATGAGTCTTTTGCCTTCCATTTAGTTCTTTCAATTAAAGGGAGGCAGTTTTAAAACTGATACATATATATTATTTTCTACAGAGTAAAATTGGTAATCTTCCCTTTAATAACAAATGGCATACTGAATAATTTTATAGACATAACACGTTCAAACATGAAGAGCCAAAGTCTTCATTTTTTAAGTTAATTTAATAAATGTTTGTTGTAAGATGGAACATTTTCAGTAATGTTTTCTTTATTTGCAGTATGGACTCCAATTGCAGTGACTGTTTTTCTAGTAGCTGTTGCAACACTGTGTAAAGAACAAGGAATAACAGTGGTGGGGATATGCTGTGTCTATGAAGTATTTATTGCTCAAGGGGTAAGCTGTTGAAAAGTAAATGAGGTTTCTTCTCAGGAATTCTGTAATGAGACATTAAGTACATTGAAGTGTCATATTTCAGCAGTTACTTTTGCCAGTTCAGGTTAACTTCATAGTTCTGTTACATTTTCCAGATTTTTTTGACTCAACTAATGCTTAATGTACATGGTTCATGGTAAGGGAATCCCATGACTTTTAAGTTGTCCTTTACATGCCATACAGACATGTTACCAAATATACTCAATAAAGAGTTAATATGTCTTAGTGGAAACCTAAGGGTTTAGTTGACTGAGGTTTGCAAAGACTAGCATGTAACAGTCTTGATTAAAGTCTGGGGTGCATAAAGATGGGAGATTATTTGATTACTGTAGTAAAAATAGAAAACGTATTATATACAAATGCATTTCATCACATTCTGATGAATAACCAGACATTTTGGAGTAGTCTTACTTGAATCAGTAATATTCTTACAAAATTTGTTATTCTAACAATACCTTTAAATTGAATTTCTAATCTGGTAGGTTTCTTCTTAAGCATTGATAAGACTTTAAGTTAACAGTAAATTTTCTTTTGTTTAGAGATCAAGATGTTCCTGCAGTGAAATAATTCTTGGCTTTTTAATAGTCAAACCATATGCAATTTAAAAATGTGTGATTACATATTCTAAAAAAATGTTCTGTTTTACTGTTCCTTAATTACTGCAAGGAATATTTTGCAAAAACTGCACCAGTAAAAGCCAAAAGGTTGCCTGTCTTGGGGATACATATTCAAGGCGAAAACACCAAAATTACTTTTTTTTGTGCATGCAGAAATACATACGTTTTGAACTATTGTGTTTGCAAGTCTGGTGAATAAGCATATCATTTTCAAACTGGATTTCTGAGGAAATCAGCAGTGTGTGACCATACTTTTCAATCTACTCTTTCTTTCTTTTAGTACCTTTCAATCTGATCCTCAATGTCATGAAAGTTTAACAAGTATGTGTAAGTCAACTGAGTAGAAAAGATAAAATCCAAACTGAGGCTTCTTCTGAGGGCACAGGTGTAGCATGAACTAAGTTTGACCAGTTCTCAAAAACCTATCAATACATGTAGTTCACCTCACCAGTACATGTAAAGCAATAAATCATCCCCAACACAAGACATGAAGACATAGGAAGTGTACAAGGAAGAAATTAGGGTATGTAAGGGGGAACTGTGCAAGATCATAATGTTCATGAGGCAGGGAAAAGTGGGTTACTGCAGCAGAGGCATATAATAGAAATCCAGGGATAATCTGGAAGTGAGTAGTATTTCTGCTGTTCTTAAGGAGTCTTGTTTATAGGATAAGGTTTCAGAGGGGCTGATAATTCTAAAAATCACAGAATCACAGAATAGTAGGGGTTGGAAGGGACCTCTGTGGGTCATCTAGTCCAAGCCTCCTGCCGAAGCAGGGTCACCTCCCCTCGCAGCCTTCTCTTCTTCAGGCTGAACAAGCCCAGTTCCCTCAACCTCTCCTCGTAGTGGAGATGCTCCAGTCCCCTCACCATCCTTGTAGCCCTCCGCTGGACTCTCTCCAGTAGCTCTTCATCCTTCTTGAACTGGGGAGCCCAGAACTGGACACAGTACTCCAGATGAGGCCTCACCAGGGCAGTGTAGAGGGGAAGGAGAACCTCCCTTGTCCTGCTGGCCACACTCTTCTTGATGCACCCCAGGATCCCATTGGCCTTCTTGGCAGCCAGGGCACACTGCTGGCTCATAGTTAACCTGTCGTCCACCAGGACACCCAGGTCCCTCTCTGCTCTCCAGCAGGTCCACCCCAAGCCTGTACTGGTGCATGAGGTTGTTCCTCCCCAGGTGCAGGACCCTGCACTTGCCCTTGTTGAACCTCATCAGGTTCCTCTCTGCCCAGCTTTCCAGCCTATCCAGGTCACGCTGAATGGCAGCACAGCCTTCCGGTGTATCTACCACACCTCCCAGTTTGGTGTCGTCAGCAAACTTGCTGAGGGTACATTCTAACTCTTCATCCAGGTCGTTGATGAAGAAGTTAAACAAGACTGGGCCCAGTACTGACCCCTGAGGGACACCACTTGTCACCAGCCTCCAACTAGACTCAGCGCCGCTGATGACAACCCTCTGAGTTCTGCCATTCAGCCAGTTCTCTATCCACTTCACCGACCACTCATCCAGCCCACACTTCCTCAGCTTCCCCAGGAGGATATCATGGGAGACTGTGTCGAAAGCCTTGCTGAAGTCAAGGTAGACAACATCCACAGCTCTCCCTTCGTCTACCCAGCCAGTCATGTCATCATAGAAAGCTATCAGGTTGGTCAGGCATGATTTCCCCTTGGTGAATCCATGCTGACTATTCCTGATAACCTTCTTTTCTTCCACTTGCTTGATGATGGCCTCCAGGATAAGCTGCTCCATCACCTTTCCTGGGATGGAGGTGAGGCTGACCGGCCTGTAGTTCCCTGGGTCCTCCTTCTTGCCCTTTTTGAAGATTGGAGTGACATTGGCCTTTCTCCAGTCCTCGGGCACCTCTCCTGTCCTCCAGGACCTCTCAAAGATGATGGAGAGTGGCTCAGCAATGACATCCGCCAGCAGAAAATGGTGATTTCTTCAAAATTTATTTCATGGTCATACTTGATTGAAGTCTCTGAAGATGGCACAAATTTTTTAATCTGTCTGCAAAATATGGAACTGCAGACATACAAGTTCAGCTATGATAGTGTTAGCAAGAATATTTGAATAAAGTCATTTTCATTAGAATGGTAGACTTCTTTTTGGGGGTTGTCATGAAAGGTCTAAGAAGCTGAGTTAAGTAGCTATTGGGAGCAAGCATTTAGAGAAAACCAAGAGAAAAAAAAAGATTTAAGTAGCTCGTATTTATCTAAAGGATTAACAAGTACGCTGTCTGATTGCAAACACTTTCTTCCTTTGCAGTACACCTTGCCAGTGTTGTTGGACACAGCTGTACAGATTCTTCGAGGGAAGGGCAGTATTCCTTTCTCTATGCTCCAAACACTGTTGAAGCTCATAGTCCTAATGTTCAGTACGCTGCTGCTTGTAGTTGTCAGAGTTCAGGTTATCCAGTCTCACCTTCCGGTGTTTACAAGGTAATCGTAAAGTGTGCCTTATTTACAGACATTGATCAATAAAATGTGTCTTAATGAGGTCTGAGTGAAATGTCCAGAAATACATCAACTTAAGTGTTTATTAACTTATTTTAATATTGGTGGGCAGTGACTGTACAATATAACATTTTTTGTGAAATTGATAAATGGTATATTTAAGTAGCTGTTGACAAGAATGTCCAAAATATTGATCTACCTGAGCAGGCATTATTTTTTGAAAACTTAAGGTTGTTCGTTCATCTTAGTAATTCAGAAATTAACTGTTTTGTTACTGAAGTAGTTTTTAGTGGCTATGTGTTTGAACCTTGGCTGAATACTCCAAACCTCTTCATAAGTTTTTGCTCTTCTACATACAAAATACTTTGTTTTAGGTACGTACTATGGAGAAAGCATGGTTGACTTAAGATACAGTGCTTGAAGACGAGTGTACATGAATACTGAACTGAAAAACTGTAGTTTGTCTTAAAAGTGTGAGCAATGTAGAAATACAGGAATCTAATATTTTCCCTGAAATATGAGGCAAACTATTAAAAGCATGAAAAAAGACCAAACCAGTTACTTAAACTTGGAGGAAGCTCCGTCCCGTGCTAAGATGAATCATTGTGCATGGTTCCCAAGTTACACACCTGACAAATGCAGGAAGATTAGGATATTCTACATGTCTGTAATGGGTGGTTCTACCTATGAATCTAAAGTTTGCTGGTTTATGAGCACAGAGTGGATCAAGATTATATCTTTTCATTAAAACCTCCTTTCTCTCCTTTCTTTTGCTTTAGGTTTGATAACCCAGCTGCTGTTAGTCCATCCCCAGCAAGACAGCTGACTTTCAACTACCTCCTCCCTGTAAATGCTTGGCTTCTTCTCAACCCCTCAGAGTTATGCTGTGACTGGACAATGGGAACTATTCCTCTCGTGGAGTCTTTGTTAGATGTTAGAAATGTTGCCACCCTTACCTTCTTTTGCTTTCTGGGATCTTTGATTGTCTTCAGTCTCCGATATCCTGGGGATTCCTCCAAGACTGTATTGATGGTATGAATGATGCATTGGGGTTTTTTTCCGTTTTTTAAGAGTGTGTCTCAGGTTGTTTGGTCACATGTCTAGTCTGCTGTGATCTGGAAATACTACATGCGTCTCCTTGTGGGCTAGAATGAACACGTAAGAGGAAAATTGTTGTAGCAACAAAGCTGTTAAATTGTAGTTAAGTATGTGACTGTCAGGGATGAGATGGAGAAGAATATACAAGAGATGAGAAATATGCCCCTTGTTATGTATTTGCAAACTGTATTGCGGCCTTTCTCAGGTATTCAGAACTCAACTAGCAAATGGGGGTTTTCAGTAGAATTTAAATATGTTTTAAGGATCGGAATGCATTTCCATTCCTGCAAACTGTCTACCTTATTTAAATGCCAGTACGTGCTGCATATTTAACAAGTGACTTGATTTTCTTTCTCAGAGGTATAAAAGACATGTTTAGGAATAGAAGTTTTCCTCGTTGTTCTTTTAACAAAAAGGCACTCTTCTGTAGTCTTTTCCATATGCTAAGGAAAAGCTGCTTTTGTCAACCTGTAAGATCAGTTGCTTTTTTTCAGTAGTAGTATATGACCTTAAAACTGAAATGGATTAACAGGAAAGAGTATTTTGGAGCAAATGGAAAGGAGAAAATGAGCTTGTATTTTTTTCGTCCAAACCCAGTCGTCTTTTTGATTGTTTCCATTGCAAGTTTCACAAGATTAATGATTACCTGGTGCCATGTTTTCTGTTAAATCAGTGGTGTAATTATGCGTACAACAAACCTGCATGCATAGATCTTAGTCTGCTTCAGAAATACTGTATTTTACTGATACGTAACTTAGCCAGCAAAAGTTTCAGATGGGTGGGAATATTTATGCACAATTTAAGACTAAGGGTTTCTTTGCTAATCAGCTGACAAACTTTGATTCGCTTCAAAGAGACTTAACATTATAGTTCTGACTCATGTTTTTTCTTGTCTTGTCACTGGAGCGAGGCAGTTTCTTTCACTAGAAAATCTGTGGAAATGATCTGTAGTATTGCTGATTAAGCCTCTTGTCCAGCTTTTGGAAACTGTGTATGAAGAAAAGAAACTTAGCTTATTCATACAATAAATATGCAAGGTGACATACCCAGAAAAAAAAGTGTTATAGTTTTACAGCATTTAAAAAATGTGAGGGAGTAGTTAAATTTTCCTTTTTCCCTAAGCTGAAACAAGTTTTCTGTA